CCCCTCCCATAGCACCCCCATCACCCCCCCATTACCTCTTTCCTGGGTACCCCTCTGAGTACTTATTATTAAGGCAGGAGCCCAACGCTTCCAGCGCTGCACGGCTGCAGAAATTCTGGGCCGGAGGGGGTTTGTTGGAGGCTCAGCATCAGCTCCATGCTGCAGGACCCCCCCCCATGTACCCCCTCCACACCCTGCTCCCCACCTCGGATGCAATGAGCTCCAACCCCCTGCACTGCCGGTCCTTTTCCTTCTGCACCAAACCCCAAACTTCGGGATCGCTGTCTGCAAGGCTCTCCTGTCCCGTCCAGCTGGGGGGGGGGGCATGGCCAGGGGCTGCCATTGCTGCTCCGTGCTGCCCCCTCCAGCGGCAGGCACCCCGGGGGATGCATCGCTGCAGGGCCTGTGGGGGAGGGGGCAGGGGGGCTGAGCTGCTGCACCTGACACCCCCAGAACAGCCCCCCACCACATCATGGGATGAGGTGCATGGGGAGGGGGGGGACAGAGCAAGTGGGACCATCCTGAGGTCACTGCAGCCCACAGGTTCAGCTCCCGCAGATGCATACGTGGAGCTGCATGCTTGTGCAAGGAGAACCTGCTGCAGGCAACTAGTGTGCATGCACAGAGTTGCATGGCTGTGCAAAGACAGTATGCTAGTGCAAAGGGTGACCTGCTGCAAGCAACGAGTGTGTGCGCACAGAGCTTGCATGCCTGTGCAAGGCAGAACCTGCTGCAGGCAACAAGTGTGTGTGCATAGAGATGCATGTATGCTTGTGCAAAGAGCTGCACGTCTGTGCAAAAAGCAACTTGCTGCAGGTGTCCAGCGTGTGTGCACAGAGTTGCACAGCAGTTCAAAGACCAACTGCTGAAAGCAACAAGTGTGTGTGCATGCTTCTGCAAAGAGCTGTATGCTCTGCAAGGCAGAACCTGCTGCAGGCAGTGAGTGTGCATGCACAGAGTTGCATGCTTGTGCAAGGAGCAACCTGGTGCAGGTGATCGGCGTGCATTCACAGAGCTGCACGTGGATGCTGTGCACGTGGCGGCACGGCGGACACCCCCCTCCTTTCCCCCCCCCTCCCCCCCCCATATTGAGGGGTCACCCGCTGCTGCCCCACACGCGCAGGTGATGTAACCGACAACGCCCCATTGCATCACCCAGCCTCGGAGAGGGCACAGAACGGAGCCGCCCCCCGGATCGCCCCACAGCGGGGACAGCGGCCAAGGCCGGGGGGAAGGATGGGGGGGCGGGGGCAGGGACAAAGAAGGGGTTGGGGGGAGGGGGCGGTCGGGGACTTTGGGTTGGATGCAAAGGTCGAGGTGTGTGTGTGGGGGCGGGGGCTGCCAAGAGGACATGGGAGGGGAGAAAGGAGCGGGGAAGGGGGCACCGGGACCCCACCCCGAACACAGGTACCCCCCCTCCCCCAACGTTGGCACCGGACCCCATAGAAGCACCGCCATCC